GTCACTGAACTCTGAGTAGTTCCCAACAACTCTTTTGCTATAGTTAAACTCTCTTCTGGCAGGCAGCAGAACTGTTTCCTGATGCAGTTTACAGGAATGTGGCCAAGTGTCAGGTGTGGACAGGGTTTGATCTATAGATGCTTCCTAGAAAACAAAATTGGAAGTCGTTCAGTCCATCCTGTTGATCTGTGTTAAGATCAACCATACCTAGACCAATCCTGAGGGAGGCCTGTTTTTAACCTTTTTAAAAAAGCTTCCAGGGGTACAGATTCCACAAGCTTCCTATGTTATCCCATTGCCTAACTGTCTTCACAGTTGGAAAGCTTTTTGACAACTGGTCAAGATCTCACTTGTTGCAACAGAGGCTTGTTACTACCACTTCTCCTATCTCCACTGGAAATGGAACAATTTATAACCTTTTATCTTTCTATAACCTTGCACATATCTGAAGACTATAATCGTCTCCCCTGGGTTTTATCTTTTCTAAACTAAGCAAGCTTGCTACTTTAAACATGGGCCCACCAGCAAAAGCTTTCTAGATCTCTGATCAGTTCATTGGCAGAGTCCTTCCAAACAACGTAGTAAAAATCAATGTTTTTTTTTTTCTTATGAGTGGGGTTCATTTGGAGTGGCAGGCTGGCTACCATATCTTCACAAGCAGCCAAGCCTCTTGAGGAGCTGTCCTATACCAAAACCAGCAGGTACAGACAAAAGCATGAGCAGTACAGGAATTCTGAGCCTTAAAACTATTGTGAGCCTAGTGGTCACAGTGGGAGACCCTCTGGCAAAGAAGCGCTGCACTTAAACCAGCCTGCGTGTGGTTGCCAGTGGGCCCGTCTACACGAAATGCTTTACTGCACAGCAGACTAATTTGCTGCACAGTAAATCGTCACTGTCTACACCTGTGCAGCAGGCTAATTTACTGCACTATCAGATACGAGAGGTATTTAGCAACACCGTAAATAACTGTTTAACCACATGCATAGATGGTGATGTCAAGATTAGTTTACTCCAGCTCATATCAAGCTGCAGTATATTCAGTCACATTAATTGCACATGTAGACATGCCCACTCCATGGTGTTGTATAACTGTGATCAGGTGACTGGCTCAGGGTCCAAAGAAGTTAGCTGTGAGCTTTGTTCCTTGATTCATAAGGAATTCCTGTTTCTGAGCCAAACAGTGCCATGTGCTGTTCTTCCCACCTTCCAAACTGCTAATTTGAAAGCCCTTCCAAAGGGGAACTCTCCATTTGTACAGTGACAAGCACAAATCCTTTTTTGGATGTTGTTCATTATAAGGCAAGTTGGCCTCCTAGTGTGGGGCCTGACTACTGCAGTCAACAGAAAGATGCCCATTGACTTGGTGGACTTCACATTAGACTCTGGTGCATGCTGACTACCACCACCAACTTCCACAATCTTTTTTTTGGACAAGGCTAAAGCTGATTTTGGCTGTGGTTGTAGTCTGTGGAAGGCCTTAAAGCTTTTCCAACAGGGAGGGAGGAATAGAGGAGGAAACAGTAGCAGAAACCAAACTTGCTACCATTGTATTCTTCTTCTGGCACTAGTATTGCACTGTCTATTCCTTAAAACAAACAAACAAAAAACTCACCTGGGTCATGGAAACTGTGGTTAGCATCCACAAATTGGAAGTAGTTAAACGTGGAAACATTGGAAATGGCTGTCTGAATTAGGCTGCCTGGGGAGCAGTGAGCTTGACTTGTCAGGTATAGACCCTGGGGGGCTGTGAAGGCAGCATGGCTTAGTAGCGAGGGGACACATTCCTAGGACTCCAGGGGCATAGAGTCTCTTCCTATCCCTGCTTTGTGACTCTGCAAGTCAGTCTTATGTGGAGATAATCCTAGTTGTCATCTCCTCAATGTTTTTTAAGATTGTCCCAGCTGGGACAAACTGTAAAGGCAGGGTTTGAAGTAAATCCAAGTCCTCTTCCCTGTCCAAACCTTAATGGCATCACAGAGCTCAGCATACCTTAATGTCACTTATTAGGACCTGGGTTCTCTTCTGGTGTCAACAGGCATAGTGATTTGCTGTGCTTATTCTTTCACAAGAAATCACAAGGCCCCACATTCCTACAGAATCTGTTCTGCCTTTTTGCATACACAGTCCCACAAGATGGATCCAGGTGGTGACAAGTGCTGCAGCATGGCAATAGCAGGGTTACTTGCTCTAATGCTGTTGGGGTTTTTTTTCCTCTTTCCAAACAGAATCCCGCTAACCAAATTCCCCTCAATGCGGCATGTCCTTAATGAAGTGGGAAGTGAAATACCAGATCTGAATGCTGTGAAGGAATTCCTAAAGTACAAGCTGGATGTCCCAGGTATAGGGGAACCCACGCCAGAGATCTTGAAGAACTACATGGATGTAAGTACAGCAGGTGAATTTTCTTGCTTGCTGCCCTTAAGTACCATGGTTAATGGGAGACTCCCCTGTGACACTTGGCACCTTGCTGTCACCCATGCCTCTTCACTATGCGGAAGGGCAAAGGAAAAGCAGTGGTTTGTATACAAAAGTAGCTGACTTATGCTGTTAGAAAGGCTTTCCTGAGTATCCAGCTCTTTTTGCCATGAACATTAATAGTCACGCTTGGACTTTGTTCCATTTGACCTGTCTAGCACATGAGCATTAGTCTTCGCATGTATAACACACTTTTCCAGTGCTATGCTTCCCTTAGAATTTCTTCCCCATTTTTCCTGTCCTCCGTCCCCACCAGATTGGTTTTGTGATCCAAGCAGGTATAAAGTACCCAGTATTGCTAATCTGCCAAAGCTGCCAGGGAATCACTGTGGATACTGAGATATTGCAGATGGTGGCCCCAACACCTAACGGGCATTTGAGATGGGGCAGCAGGTGGAAGAAAAGTGGAGGGAGGGCTGCTAAAGTTTTTATTTTTGTCTTTGACAATGTGGAAGGTGGCTATTATCCTCCTCCAAAGATGTCTTGCCTCATCAGAAATATGTTATGAATGTGGGCCCATGTTGTGCATGTCACTGAAACAACCTCCTCTAAACCAAGTCTGAGAAGGAAAGACTCCAAGTTCACATCCAGTATTTTACTACTGACTACTTTGACTTTTTACCAAGAACCTTCTCTTACTTTTTATTCTCCATATGCAAAGGGACATAATACCCAATTCACAGAGCTATTTCAAACCATAGCTAGTTAGTCAGGCTCATCTTCCATTGAAGTAACATTCCAGTTGTCTTGCATGTGGTGTTTTGGATGGAGCAGGCCTTTAGAAGCTGAGAGGTGCGTTGGAAGCTGTACAACAGTTTCCAAATATGTAGGTGTGGTACAGATTCCCAGGGAATGGGGAGACATGGTATAACAAGCCAGTCCCTCTTTCTCTAACTGCTGTTGAACACTTCTAATTTAAGGGGAGTGGGGGGAAACAAACCTGCCACACCTAAGCAAGTTTCCAAGCAGTCTTCCTAGCTTCAGTGACCTATTTTTCTTCCCCCTCACTACTAATTAACCAACCTAAATGACTAGTAAATAATGCCTTTTAATCAGTCACTCTGTCCTAGCCCCATTTATTGTGATCTAAGGACAGAATCAATTGTAGCTTGCTCCAAAAATGCTGAACACAAAAACAACCTATTATGCCTTACGGCAAAGGCCTTGTGTCAAAACTGACTCTTGGTTCTGTTCTCTGATTAGTTAGCTGACCTTGGGCAAACTCTTCTGCACTGCCTCTGCTTCCCCACATGTAACATGGGAATAATGATGCTGACCTCCTTCGCAAAATACTTTTGGGATCTCTGGCTAAGAAGTGCCATGTGAGAGCTAATTGTTTATGTTCCTGCCCTGCTCCAGCTAAGCACTTAAGCAAGTGCATAATTTGAAACTCTTGGCTAACCCCATTAAACATTGATGCTTAATGGCTTTGCTGGAGCAGGGCCTGAACACATATGTGGGAGATGCTGGGTGCTTGTATGTATGTCTGGCCTCGGTTGTAGGCACTAAGCACTTGACAGTCTGGCCCTATGCTCTTTGGAGATTCTGGCCTTAATTTACCTGGTGATTGTGCCATCCAGAAGCCAACAGGCAGAAAGATCTTTAGGATCAGTTTTTACTTATTAGAAGTACTCATGATGGAGGACCAGGAAGAAAGGGAATCCAGAAAAAGAATGTAAGGTTTGACCTTGCAAGAATGATGTAAATGGAGCTACATGCGTCTCCAGAGCATGGGCTTCCTCCATAGAAGTGCATTAGCTGAGATTGCTTTGGACCTGCAGTAAACCCACGATGTTTCGTTTTTAAAAGAAAACAAGTAAGTATTGTAGTCTGAGGCAGCTGCCCACTTCCAGTCTCTCCAAGTAGGTTGTATAACTCCAATTCTGGAGCCAGGTTCAATCATACTTTTAGCTATGGAGGTGTAATTTGTCAGCAGCTAGGAAGCTTTAATGGATCAGGTCTGTCTGAGCCAGAAGACTTGTGGGGCCCACAAAAGAGCATACATGTGATGTTATTACTGTTGTATAATGAATTGACTGGAATGAGGTTGGTGCTTGTATAGGATCAAAAGAAAGTCGGGCTGGAAGGGATGTCCCAAAATCATCTAGTCCGGGTCCCTGCTCGGGGCAGGATCTTCCCTGACTAACCCATCCCAGCTAAGCGTCTGTCCAGCCTGCTCTTTAAACTTCCGGGGATGGAGAGTTCACAACTTCTCTAGGGAGCCTGTTCTGATGCTTGAATACCTTCATAGCCAGGAAATTCCTCCTAATCTCCAACCTAAATTTCCTCTGCTGTAATTTGGGGCCTTGCTTCTAGTTCTGTCCCATAGGGCCATGGAGAAGCCCATGTCCTTCCTCTCTAAACTCCCTCTTCAGATATTTGAAGGCCATTGCCAAATCCCCGCTGAAGCCGCCGCCTCTTTTCCAGACTAGACTAAATTGCCCTAGTTCTTTCAGCCTTTCTTCAGAAGTCATGGTTCCCAGGCCTCTAATCATATTTTTGGTTACTCTCAGCTGGACTCTTTCCAATCTGTCCCCATCTATCTTGAAATGCAAGTCCCAGAACTGGGCACAATACTCAAGGTAAGGCCTTGCCAGTGCTGTATGTGGATATCCTTCATGCACTCAAGCAGCAGTAGGTATTTCTAAACATGTGACAGGATGAAATGATAGAAAATGGATTACAAAATGGTGGTGCAGTGTGATTGGGGAACAGCATTTGCAAGGGTGTACCACTGTCAGCTGGGATTTAGGCATGTGTCTTTCCAAGAGGTGGGTGTTTTTGTTTTGTTCTTTGTGATGGTGGAGGGGAGATGGAGATGCATGGTGAATACCTGGGTGCACAAATGGGAGGGACTGCCTCTTTTCTCCAGCACTGACTTATCCTTAACCTTGTAAATAAGCCTTCTAGTGGACTTTTTGCTTGGGGTCTATATGGCATTTTATTTCCTAAAATCAGAGAGCTGTGTGCAGGGGTTTTTCACCTTCAGGAAAGAAGTGCTTTCACTGCAGGAAGAACCACGGTTCAAGCAGGTTTGTTCTCCTACCTGCTAGCTTTGCTGACGTACTCCTAGCAAATTACCTGCTCTTCTCCTTGGATAACCATACTGGGTCCCAAACATTAAGGTGCTGCAGTGGAGCTTCAGGTTTCTGTTCTCACCCCACCCTCAGGGAGCTGTCCCTGCCTACTTTGTGATCCGTATTGCCCCACGCATTTCCAGTTGCCACTCCCCACTTCCTCTTCTTGATCACTGCTTCATGCCTTCTTGCCCCTGTCTCTGCAGCAGGCTGCCTACTTTGTATTATCTCTAACTCTTGTCGTAAAAGTTAAACGCTTGACTCTGTCCTTAGACCCTTAAATAAGTGGCTTCCATCCCCTCCCTAAGATGCTGAGCAGCAGCGGGTCCTGTTAGCCTCCTAGGCTGGGGCACGAAAGTTGACAAAGTTGTCAAGCTTCTTAAGCTTCAGAACTGAAGGAATTGGCCTTGCAGATACCCATGCATGTTGTGTCCTGTGTTGCTCTCCTGGGAAAGGGAATATTCTTCCCCCGCATTTCCCCTATCCTCTGGGCTCTTGTCAGCCAGCCAATTTCTGCCTCTCTCTCAGGGAGGCACTTCTCTGTTCATAGTAATCCCTTGGGAGCAGCAAGGAGGGAATGTGCATGTTCAACCAGCCATGTCGAAACGGTGAGCTGCAGATTGCACAACAGTGCGGCTCCAATTCCAAAATACTTCTGTTAGACCAGCTTGCTTGTCGGGAGCAGACACCAAGTCGTTTTTCAGGTGCTGCTTTTCTGCCTGCCAATACTGCCACTAAAAACAATTTCCAGTCTTCTTCATTTTCACTTTTTTCCAAGTCCTGAGAAACGTGGGAGGATTCCCCACTCCTGATTGTGACAGACGGAGGAAGGGATGAGACCCCTCAGCACCAGGATGGGCAATGGTGCAAGTGGGAAGCCAGCACCTTCACATACTGAACAGAACCTATGTTGCTCTGGTCCTGTAGGCTCAAGTGTCAAGTGGGAGAAGTCCCCATCTCTCAGGACCATTTTGTCTTGTGCTGTGAATGAGGTCAGACCATCTTTCTTCCACCTCCCTCAACTGTGGGGAGGGGGGTGTTCATTCCAGGCAGTGTCCCTCTTCTTTTCCCACTTGTCTGCCTTGTGCCTGAAGTAAAAACTAGAAAGGCTTCCATCTTCCTTCCCCTTATAGTAAAATGTGTTCTAGTTGCTGCTGATTACTACCTCCTTACCCTCGTCACTCTGCTCCTTTTTTTAAATAGGCTGATCATCCTGCCCAGATATTTCTAGGAGATTAGTGATGTTCCCCTTTCCCAGAAACTGCCTTACAAGTAGCACATGGTGGTGCCTATTGCCCTGCAGGTCTGTGCTGCTTTGCATTCATTCCTCTTGGAGATGGCACATGCTGTGTTGGAGTAGAGTTTGGGGTTGGTTTGTTTTGGGGTTTTTTTTGGTTTTTATCTAGGTTTTGACTCTCTTTTTGGAAACAAGGTGGGGGACTTGTGTGTCATGCTGCCAGGGTGGGATGGCAGAGTCCTAGGACCCCCACCCAAAGAGCCAAGGGCTGGTGGATGGGATGGGGCAGGGTGCCTCAAACACTTCACAAGAAGTAGCTGTCTTCATTTTGGGGCCTACATGTGCAAACCTCTAGGAAACAATCTGTGTGGTGTTGTAAGAATATTGTGACACGGTTTCTGTTGCTTCAGCCCTAGCCACACTTCTTCTCGTGCCCTACTCTTGGGACACCCTCCTGACTTTTTTTCAGGAAGCAATCTGTCTTCTTTCAGATCTCTTCTTCAGGTTCCCCTTTTTTGGAGCTTACTGGTAATTATACAGTGGCACTTCTAGCTATAGTTTCCAGTGTGACTACATAGAAAATCCCTCTTGCT